GTCCAGAAGATTAGATTCGGGTGGCAAATCGCCAGATGATGAAGCACCACATTTGGAATGTCCTTCCTGTCTTGACAATAATGAGAAATGACGTGTTGCTGTTGACACGGTAAGGGAGGATGAGTGGGTCGAGAATGAATTACAGTAGTGTTTGAGGTGAGCGATGAAGTGATGGCTGCACAGCTGCATCAACAAGATAACAGTGGACTTCGCAGATCATCAATTTGCTCTTCACCTCCACACTTCACGTTGTGAGAGGCGCCGTCAGGAAAGGGTTGCTTGCTGACTGACTCGTGATGAGAAATGACTTTTGCCTGCCACTGTTAAGCAAACGATTATGTCATTGAGTATCCTCAAACTATTCACACACACTACCTACCCTACATTTTGGAGGTGCCACTTCATTCCCACAAGACTATGCTGGAATTGTGTGTGGTGGACTGCAGATGGAATCAGTTGCCAAGGCGTTGTTCTGCTCACTTGTTGAAGGCGAAGCCAGTGCAACTGAAGGATGCACAAGAAGGACTTCTTCTTTTTCCTTTGAAACAATCAGAACCGGTGAATCAGTGGAAAGAGAGCATTACTATTATTATTATTATTTTCGAGCCAATGCGGGACTTCAAATGTTAATTTTATGCACGAGATGTGCACAATAGGATGGAATGAGAGGGAAGGGAGATACTGCCTCGTCCCCAACCCTCGTATTACTTTGACATTTCTCCAAGCACCGAGCAATTATCGCTCGCGCTTGGCGTTGGACATGCATAAGATGATATGCAAAGTAGAATAGGTAGTTGGGAGGAGGAAGGAGGGGGAGGGAAGGTGAGGTAGAAATAGAGGTGCCCAAGTCGTGCTGTGCACTACCATAGGCAAGACGTCGTATGAATGTGGGATTGTCAATCAGCTTGTGTCTAGTTGGGGAAGGAGCATACCTTGTAATGGTGACTGTTTCAGCTTTGGTACTTACTTGGTGCTAAGTATAAGGGTTGCGTGAATTCACTTGGTTATCTTAGGCGTTAGCACTTTCATAGATGTTGCAGGGTGTGTGAATGTGGAGCATAAAGAGGGTGTTCAGGTGGAATCGTATTAACACGGAATATTTGCCGATCATTAGGGTTAAGAGGAGGTACAGCTGTTTCAATGTATCCCAGACGAGAACCGGGAAGGTACGGGAGGCAGCTTGCTTTTGATCGACTGTATGTTTTTGGTGCACCATTATGATGGTATTGTGACAAACTTGTCACAAGTATGCAAATAAGCGCATTGTTTGCAGCAGTATTGGAACACTGTAGAAGCGCAATGGAGGGAGACTAGAGACCCCTTCGTGATTGAGACACGGTGGTGCAGGTGGTTTTATGGGGTTATTGGGTGACGGGGTCCATGTGGTGGTGCGGTTCCCCGTTTACCCATCTGCGATTGGGAATAATAATAACAATAATAATAAACAAGGATTGGATTGATTGCTAATCACACATTCCCTCCATCGCTGTGCCAGTTGGCTTTGCATCAGTACACCTCTTGTCTCACCCTTCCTCCTCACCCGAATGTAAGCACGATTCCGACATTGACTGTTTCGTTTCACCATTCTGCACTGTGAATGAACCACAGTGGTGCAGCATAGGGACTCACGATCTGCCGAGTTGGACAACTCTCGGTGATCACACAATGCATAAATGTGCAAATATGGGCAATGGTTGTGATCACTGTGTGGTTCATGCGCAAATGGTTGGTTTGATTCAACTCCAAACCAGAGTCGAACCCGATTGCGATGATGTCCTCTTTTAAGAATGGGAAAGTTATAATGCAGAAATGGATGCTTTAGAGAAGCTGAGGCAACACTAATTTCCGGGGTGATCCAAACTTCCCACGTGCAAGATGTCTTCTGCTCCCGAAATGTGGATCGTGTCACGCGAAATAGTGGGTAGGAGATATGGTGGAGGAGATAACTTGAAACGCGTACATGAGAAGTAGTACAGAGAGCGTCATCGATGCGAGTGTTGACCAAAGGGCCTCCTCTAACGCAGAGACACATCTTGAGTGCACGCACATAAGGAATTGATTGGATGCGTCAATTTCCAAGGCAATGGAGTGTGCGAGAAAGAACTACCCCTCCACTAAGTGAAGACGCTCCGTCAAACTGTCAGCTTGCCACAGTGAACCTGATGAAGTGGACGCGTGAGAGGAAGCAGGTGGGAGTGGCGGTTGTTTATGCAAAGTTTCAGTGGGAGTCAAATGCGCACTTGCATGAGGTGACGAGGCGTCTAGACGAAGGCTTTCCACTGCACGAAATGTGTGCCTATGAAATGAGGCAGCTCTCGCCATCAGAACCGCCTCTCGATTCAACATCCCCTCAGCTATGTGATGTGGCTTCAGAGGGCCTTCCCAATGTCATGCAGTACATTCTGCAAACAAGCACTCTTGGAAACCATAGTTCGAGCAAATCAAATCCTTGAATAAAGATGCTTGTAGTGGATACACAGACGTGTTCAATGAATGCGTTAAATAGCTACTTCGCCATGGTTGATCGTTAGTGGGAATGGAGGGGCATTGTGCCTAGCAGAAATGTCAACCACTGTGTGTGCAATCACAGGATAACCTTGGCTACTTTGTGCGTGCATGCTATTCCTGCATTGACTACTCCATATCATTTGCCATTTTTCACTGCAATCTCTCTAACAAACGTCAATTAACGTCCATTCGCCTCACCAACTTGGTGATGTACTAAGATGAATATCACGAGACTGGGGACAGTGGGGTGTTATAACAGCATCCGATTATTCGCGCGCATTATGGCGATGTGATGCCCAAGATAAGACAGTTCGCTATCAAAATTCACGACGCTGGATAGGAGATATGCTGGTGGTGCTGCCATAACCGATTAACACTTTGTATAGCCATGAAAATGGGGGAATGTTTGCAGATGCGATAGATTATGATTATGCTCACATGTACAGTAACAATGCAGCTACTCCGATGCATCAATGCGATGGAATGTGCTTCAAGTGACTTGTCACCCCCGTGCTTGAACACTGAACGCGGATTGACACAATGTTAATATTTCATAGCAAACTAGGTTTGAATGCAAATCCTCACTGTATTTAACCTGGATAAACCACTAGACTGTTTAGTGTGGATGCACACTTTGAAGCAATTCAGGCAGTCTTATGAGACAAGAAATGTAGACAGGTAGAGGTTGTGGCATGCAGTCGTGCCGCTATCGTCACCCTTTTTACAATCTCGCTTACCTGTAATGTAGATGTGGAGGAGATGGGGGCATGATTACGATGTGTTCGAGAATTACAGTGGTTATTTATTGGTTCAGCCCAGCAACCCACCGTTTATGGTGGAAAGGAACACGTGTCGATTGTTGTGGGAAGAAAAGAAGGAGACGTGGGGAGGTGAACGACTCGTCAGGTGGCACTCCGCACCCCGCCCTCCTCACATCACTTTGAGCGCACGCACGTATACCCTCCAAACATGTTTGAGGTGAAATTAATAATTGAACATCCTGACAACCGCTGAAAACACATGATAAAATCATGCATCCCTCGTTTGAGTTAAGTCTCGAGAGGTGAATTTTCAGGGTACTGTGGTTTCTTATCCTTGTTCTTGTAGCGAAAATAACTAGTAGAATCCGCGAAACCTCAACCACCTCATTGGACCATTTTTACTGACTTTTATTTAAAATATCAACTCTCTCGGGTTATAGAATAATTTTCAGTACCTAACAAGATTTTTCTTGGTCTATTTTTTGCACTTCCTCTCATTTATTTAAAATGAGAGATAGAGAGTGAATAACAAATACCTTACATCATTACCATATATTCCATTCGTATCCGTAGTTTACTATGAAAGCCTGTTTTTAGCAATAAGGTAGTAGACAGTATACCTAACCTAATTCAAGATAAATCCCCCATTTATTCACAATATTGTATAAAGTAGTTTCATTAAGAGGGTATTTGAAGTACGGAAAAGCATGGAACGAGAAATGCCGAATAGCCCTCAGTACAGAAAAATAATCACTCGCATAAGGCTACTCCGCAGGCTTTCTTATCATCTGCCCATTATCACACCACGTTGATGGTCACCCTTGCTGGAGTGGACTGACAGACAGGCTAGCCTGATGTTTGGTTGAATGGGTGTGCTCCCCCTTTAAATCGTCGTGGTATGCCCAACACGCACACTGCACACATGTGTGCCCTCCTTTTTCGCTCAGTGAGACACGGGTGGAGGCACAGAGAAAGGTGACATCAATCATGGTCTAGACGACTTCAAAGTGTGAAAAGCCGCAACCGCAATCACCAACTTTATTTCTTGCACAGTCTAGGCGATTTAGAATGATCAAATTTGATCCGATTTAGGGCCATGCTGAGCTTTTCAGCAGTAACAAGGGATCCTGGTAAAGATGGGAAAAGGCACGTCTTAAGTCACGTGTGACAGTGCTGAAAATGACACAACGGAACTATAATGCGAACGACCAAAGATGTAATGTGGGAAGCGTCATCAAAGCTACCTTTGGTCAATATTGAGACCTCTTTTTAATGCAATTTACAGAAAGTCAGTCATATGCGTTCACATTCAAAGCATTGAAGTGTCAAAACCAGGCACCCACAATGTGAATGCTTGCTGTCAAACAGCCTGCTTTGAACAGTGACACCCCAGTTGCAGTAATGGCCACGATAAACAGCATCCATACATGAGAGGTCTAGTGTGATGCATGGCCATACTCAATCTATTAAGCAATTTTGAGTTCTTTTGTTGCAGGTAGAAGCCTGAGAGTTTGGACTGTAGTCAAGGTGGGCTAAGCGACACTATGGGTATTACTTTCTGCCTAAATGTCTCTTCTGCTCCAGCCTCCTCTTCAGCCTCTTCCCTCCTGACGTCCTTTTCATTGAAAACAACAAAAAAAAGGGCTGCCGAAAAGGGAACATATTTTTTATTTAGTCACGATGCAGCCATCAAATATTGTACGAGGAGGATGTCCAGGGTCACTTGAAGGATTAAGTCTTTCCAATGTGCGAGGATAAAGAGGTGGAGGGGGAAGGGAATGGGGAGGAGTAGAAACTAGGAAACAAAAGGGGGACAACCCCTGTCAAGGGAAAAAAGGCAAGACAGTTGACACCGCTGTCAGGGTTTTCAGTCTTCTGTTACCTGTTGGGGACAGACAATACTGTTGCAGATAGGGTAAATGCAGCGGCGGAAACACCGCCTGCTGCATCGAGGTGGTCACAGCTTAGGACCTTCCGTCTGGCGTGAACTTCAAGATGGGAGGCGACATGTTACGCTTCTCTGCCTCCAACGCCTTTGCTTATAGGCTACGGCCTACTGTCACCGCCACTGGTCTTTCAGCTATACATTTTCCGAAGGTGCAAATTCCTCTGCGATTCGGACTTGCTCATAGCTAATTTCATCGGATTCCGGAGCACAATAATGCACAAGTTAACCATGTCGATGATTTTCTTTCCTTGACACCACCGCTATTGCAAATGCAACTCGGTTGGATAAGCAGAAACTCACCTAATTTCGAGTCCATCTAGGAGACCTACATTATGCCGATTGCTAGTTGCCCAACTCGTATACGCTTTAACTCAATCACCAATCGAATCGCAAGGGTGTTAATGGATTATTTTATGTACTGGTGATGGAGTGGAAGGAAACTATTGTTTTAGGGCATTAGCATCCGTTTTTAATAGGAAGTTAAGATCGACTCCGCATGCAAAGCTTATTCTTCGCTCACTATATCTAAATAGTCGCTACTGTATCCATCCTGTAACTTCGCAGACATCGGTTGGACACGGATGAGCAAAATAAGGCTAATTGAGAAAGAGAAGGTAAGGAAATGGAGAAAGGGGTATAGCTTACCTTTTGCTACCTCGGGACAGCGGACAAGTGGTCGCAACTGCTTTCTGGTGATCGGTGCATCATGGTTTATTTTTGATCTAAAGGAGGGAAGGGAAAGTGGAAGTAGTGCGATGAATTACCCCAAGAGTCGCAATCACGGACGAGAGCAGAGGAAATCAAGGAGAACTATTGTAAACTCGTGTAGAAAGAGCAGAAAGCACTTCTCGACGACCTCCATCGATGCCATTTTCTCATTTCCTGCAACTCACTCAAAACGAGCGACTTTAAGGCTTACCCAAACAAGTTACTTGCATCAATGAACAAAAATGATAATTGCAGTTATTGTTTGCGTATTTGTTATAAATTAGATTTCTCAGTCTATAGACGGATTCCCTATCTCTAGCTCGGACATTGAGTTAGTGCTTTAGGGCTTTCGGCATGTCATGCATTACTTCTCCTTGTACTTGAACTGAAACATTCAGTATGAAAACGCAGTCTTCGTTACCGAACCAACCACGGGTACATCTCCACAGCCCTCAGTCCTACGGTGTACCTTTTACAAGTTTGGAAAAGATCTAGAAAATGGGCCTTTAACCTTGTTAACCTACATGGCCGCAGTTACTAGCTCCTGTGGCTGTGTTATCCATCGCGAGACGTTTGTTTCCATACTCTGAAAATCATCAACTATATGCTCATTGCCAAAGTGTGCAAAGCACAGTCATTCGGTAAGATTAAATCTGCCATTTGAGCATATGTGGAGGGAGCAATGAATCCCTAAGACGAGATACGGTTCATATTTAAGCAATGGTTTTAAAATGGGAAAAAGGTCCCAAAATAAATGCAAGTATGAACCCAGCATGGAAAGGCTTTTCGATGGCATTCAATGGAATACTGGATTATCGCCGCTGACCGCTATCAAAATCGCTACCACTGCAGTCTCATTCTTTAAGAAATATTTATCTTGTCGCCTGTAGGTGGGCGGGGTCGTGACCTCCCAGGTTAAATTCCACTGCACATGTAAGTACGCAGAGCACGCTTAAATTCAGTGTAAACAGAGGGAGAGGAGGAGAGGGCGTTCCAGAGACTAAGTGGTGGGGACGCGCTACCATGTGTCGTCCCCACCTTCATCTCGCAGACTAGGTGGCCATGAAAATGCGCGGCACAACACTACTGGTATAATCCAAAAGGCCCAAAAGTCCTGATTTTTACAACTGCTTTGATTCATATTTCTCCCACCAATATCAACATAGTAAAAGAGTGCCCATTTTAAATTCTGCTACAGCGACGCAAAGATACGAAATAAAACTATAGGATGCTTCGTTGTCCCATCTGGATTGAAAAGCTTAGCACGGGTATGATTACCTTGTTATATGAGATTGGAAACTCGTTTGATGGAATGTCTGCTAGCCTATGCTCAAATTTACTTCAACCAATAGATTGAATAGATTGGTTTGCAAGCCGTCTATTTCAACATATTTCAAATCGGCAAACCATTGAAGGAGTACTAGATTATTTGCTGCTAGATCATACCTCCAGGATTCCAAATACCCCTCCTGATGAATATGATTTTGAATAGGCGAATGATCATTAATCGTAATCCTACACTTAGTGAAATAAATTGGAACAATTTTGGGGATATTAGAACCACTTTATTTTTGTGATATATGAATGTGTACTTTCACTACCATCCCATGCTTACATCTGTATCCCTATTCGATTTCACCTTTCCTACAGCCATAACTGGTAAAATGAAGGGGAGAGAGATGAAACGATTTACCCTTTGGACCACTTTTAATTATATTCCCCCCTTTTGTCCCCTTACCACCCCTTTGCAATCTCTCTTTATCCCATGGCTTGCTTAGATATTCCTTCTATCATTGTAAATCAAGAAAAACCCCTGAAAATGGCTACTACCCTACCGCCTTGTACAGCTTTCACATCAACAAAGTAGTAAGCTCTGAGTTACAATTGTTTTGTGAGACTGTTACATCTGCCCTTGGACAGTCGCGTGTCAGATTACAAACAAAGCTCCAATTCATACTGCATTATGCCATTTTGTGATTAATAGCTTTGTCCTTTCACAGCATTTAGAACCCTTGCCAGTTGTGGGCCATAAAGCATAACTGCTGTTTTGACACTCAATCGTCGCATCTCAATAGCTGTTAGACAAGCAACTTTGACCGAGAGACAGTGTTGTCTGAATTGGCGGTCAGCCAACGCGTTAATGATTGAGGGTGACCTTTTTGTTTGGCAATGTATTCTCACCTGTTAGTAATTATACCCTTCAGCGTTATGCGAGAGTGGCATGGAAGAAATTTCAATTGTTCAAATTGTTTTCACACGTCTCAAATTTCCCAAGTAAAAGTGTTTCAACTTAGTCACTCTTGTAGATGCCATTCTTAATTCCACCCACTTATTGCCTACCCTATGCAAACACTTAGATTCAAGACCTTTTAGCAAATTTGCTTGAGAAGGATTCTCTGAGGAGGGCATAGCTTACATAAATATGGGAATCGGCTTAACTGAGTGATAGTTAGCAATGAGGTATATTGACACTAGTTTAAATACTTGTGGCATGAGCAGCGTATAAGAACACTCAAACTTTAGCAATACTCCCCACCTGTGTAGTTTGTGTTTGGGCTAGCATTACAATTCTCGGAATATCAGAAAGGAGTAATGGACACGATCGACCAGGGCAGGTGATACATACTACTAGGTTATTTGTGGGAGACACATCATTTGGCACCAGCAAATTGTAAGATACTAACTTTGTTAAGGCTCAAGGCCCGATGAAAATGCGGCTACATTCTCACCATCTTGGCTAGAGTGCTAGATAAATAGTTGTCACACCTATCCTCTCCCCCGTTATACCTTCTATGGTAAACAAAACCAGTCAAGACTGAGGCCATGGGAGCTCATAAATTTGCACAAGGTGTGAAGTGGTAAAAAAGGAGGTAATTCCTCCCACTGCAGCTGAACTAGTCTAAAATTCACAACTTAAAAGCAAACCTGACTATAAACAGGCCTGAAAACACAACCTACGCGGTGTCTGTCAATCCCATCCTGCAACACCAAATAGTGACATTTATGGCCCCGAGGCTACCGAAACTACGCTCGCTCATTCATGACCTAAATAGTTGATTATTGACAAGGGAAAAGGAATATTGTTTAAATCAAATCTACCATCTTCGCCATGAGGCATATACTATATACGCAAGTAAATTAGGTGCCCACATCCCAAAGTGCCCCACTCCACTCTACTCTCTGGATCACACGGCTCTACAAAACCATCCGCATTTTCTCACCGCAAATTATAGCATTCGGCAATTGAATAAACCGTCTTTTGCTGACATCGACATCATCAAAAACCAATGCACCAATCAGTTAATAAATGAATAAAGTGGATTTACACTCTGTTCAATTATGTCACTCGGGTTGCGGGCTGGAGGTTACAAATGGAATTTGTAGCACGATAAAAGTGGAGAATATGTAAAATGGAATTAAGAGATTAATTTCTTCTGAAGCGACTCATTGTACAATAACCCACAGAGTGAAAGATGATGAGATCAAGTGCCTCTAAAGGCAGTTTCCAGAGAAATAAGGAAAACATTCAAATGTTCTCGGATATGTTCAATGTATGCAGAGAAGGTGCGCCCTATCCATTCCACATTTAGGCTGTCTTCCTAAGTATCTTAATTAGGTAATCTTGTGCAAAAGTTGGATACGTTCGAATCACTGAAAACCACCGAAATAAATCTTGATGCACTTTCATTTACGGTTTTGGCCGGGGCTAAACAAAGAGAGACTGAGAATGACCAAAATGGTTATTAGAATCAGGTGTAGAAAAGGCACGTGTACATGCGGTTGAGGTCACATCCCACCTGTTTATCAAGTGTAACATGCGGACCGGCGGTCATGGCTCCTGCCTAGCTCTCTACCTCCTCTCCCCTTCTACCTTTTCCCACTTTTCACACATTCAGTCGCTCGATTTAGTTGTCCCAAAGACCAAATGCGTTGATAAAAACTGATATGTGAAGCAGTCATATTTCCAGTTCCATATATCATGCATGAATTAACAGGGGATGTTCTACCCAGCCAAGTACTCACCTTCGGATAGAAGACATCTGAAATGCTAAACTGTGGTCTCAAAGGGTGGACTCCAGTCCGCATGAGATTGGTTAAGACAAAGTGGTTATTTTCAAGAGGAATTCAAGGACCAATGCTCCTTCGGTGGCGGGAGATTTCACTGGTGTGGTGGTAATCGTGAACCTACTAATTGAAAAGTCAGTCGTCGTGCCTCGATTTGCGGTTTTGATGGCACTGATGTTACTTTGCTGACTAATGCAGCAACATAGATGGTAACAATTAACTTCCCCCTTCTCACGGTGCGAATGAACGGCAGCGTGTGGATTCCAAATAACTATGATTCATCTATAAGATCCTATTTCCACTTTGACGCACTACAGCACTCTACACTACACCACGCAAAAAGTGCCGCCTATAGAGCTACTTGATTCAGTAAGATGATCGGCAAGGACATCAAACTGATACTGACCACCTCACAATCTCATGTTTGAGACTATCCAAACGAAACCTATGACACGCAGTATCAGTCATGTAAAAAGGTTATTTAGTACGTAGCAATTGCCCAAACCTTCATACAACCGATCTGCGTCCGTATTTCCCCGCACCCGAAGTGATCATGATAGCAATACTCAGGGAAATTTGTGATTAAACTGACCGATTAGCTGGAACCTCTATCTGATACTATAGCTCTTAAGGTATTCCTGAAGACAGAATAAGGCATACCACCTCTGAAGAAGGTTCTATTGGCTACATGAGGAGGGACTGCTGTAGACAATCTACTACTGTGACATTATGAGTCCATGAGAGGGCGCACGACGGAAGGTAACAACGACAAGGCTAGAGAACTGGGACCATACATCGTAATGATGGATAACTGCAGCACCTACTTCCTGAAGCCTAAATGCTGTGAAAGTGAGTAATCTCAAGGCACAATATGAAGGAAATCAAAATATGTTGAAGAAGAAGTTAGATGCCTTCATGATTCACAGGTATAAGCAATCCAAATAGGGCCTCCATATCTCTTTGCTTTTCTTTGGTTGCACAGAGCAGTCAGTGGGGTCAATGCTGCTGTAATCGACTGAGAATGATCGCACGACAGAGGTTGAAGTTACTGCATGTAATTCGTGGACACCACTGTCACCAGAGGTGGCTTGAGACGTTGAAACAGTGGAGGCAGAGGCAGGGAAGTTGGTGGGAACAAGACCCCGGCAGAAACTACTATGGATCGATTGCAAGCGACCTTTCACATCTGGATTCTCCTCGAGCAAGTTGCCCACACCTCTCAACACTTCGTAGCAGAAGTTCAATATCTCTGCCTTCTTCATCCGAACACTGCTTCTCGCCTACAATGCAGACACAATCACCTAGTTCACTCGTCTCGCCGTAGCACTGCGCTGTACTTGTAAAACCACACCGCTGCCTTATCGACTACTGCGCATCGACTTAGCGACCGGGCAATCAACATTGTCTACTAGAATGTGTCTATATGGCCAGGTACCACAGGGTGTATATGTTCTTGTCAATATAAATAAGGAAATTGATAGGGAACTTACCTCTTGCCCAAACATAGAGAGGGCGATGCCGTGTAGCTCCGAAGTTTTGTCCGAAATCCGAGCTTGTCTTGCGCATTCTGCAATTTGCATATTTACCTAATGCAGAGGCGTTTCGCAATAAGCATTCCATTTGAAGTTAGGAACTAAGATGAGTAATTTGAGAGAAAGTCAGAAAGTATGGAAACCAGATTTGCTGAACTACTTACTCTCCTTAACACGGCTGCCTGCTGCAGATTGGTGTATTGACGGCATCTACTCCTCGACGCACCTCCAAGCGACTTTGGCGAGTAGACGAACATCTCGGTCACCGCAAGGGTAGGAATGTGGGTGAGTACCTCCAAAGCCGCTCTCTTATGTGTTAGCAAATCCGACAGCCTACCTATTTGCCAGTTTCGCGGCCACGCAAGTTAGTCCCATCACCACCCATTCAACTAGATAACGTGAACGTGACACGCAGATTAGCTGAGCTCTTAACCACTAGAAACACAGCTTGAAACGCATGCGAATTGACGGAACCAATCACAGCACTGGTGGGCCTGCACGCGTGTTTGCACGATATCGTAACTTCTATAGAGGTGCTTACGTTCCATTACCAGCGAATGGGCTTTCCATAATCAGTAGGGAACATCCTGCCAATTTCTATCTTTTTCTGTCGTTATGCCACACACATGAAATGAACTACAATAATGCATTGTGTTTGGGACCTTTTGTGATGCTGATTTGACTTCATGCACATGTTGGTCGATCGCAACTGTGCAGCAGAAGTCTCTGCACTAGAAAAGACCTTCAGAGGTAGACCTTGTTCTACCGACCCACCTGTTTGTTATGGCTGAATCGGCTCTTACATATAATCTTTTTCGGCCGCCTTGACTCATCTTAATTCCACCTGCACATTATACTTTGGGTAGGTGCATTGAGGTAAGCGTGGTGGTATTGTGTTATATTCCATAAGTGTTTACTACTGGTGGAGACCCTTTCATTCTTTTACAAAAGCCTCGCGAAAGGTAGATGCTGACTTGTTCGTCTAACCACATCTCATTTGTACCCGCCTGAAAGTCGTAGAACAGAGATCTTGTAGAGTAATTGCAGTTACCAGTACCAAATAGCGCGAGTAAAACGTTATTATAGCATCTTATTAGACCTTAGATGCATGAAATATAACAGCTTTTGTTGTGTAACGTTTACAAGGGAGGTTATTGTACCCACTTCAGTTGTGTTTTTATACGTCCTAGGTGTCCTCGTGTGGACTGTCTAACCCATTCGTGGGTTGCTTGCAATCTTACAACTGGGATGGACAGTTCATGAAGTAATTGAGCAAATGGCCATATTAGGCATCAAATATGCCAAAGATGTACAGCTTACATAGTTAGCGTTAGGAGCCCACAAAGGGAAGGAGACCAGACCACAAACGCGAAAGCCGAAGTGGGTATTGTGTAAAAGAATGTGCAACTTCCTAATGTCTTGTTGATATCATATCTTGCCATAGGTTGACTAAATCCAGTACATATCATGCTTCATTTAGCTTGGTAAGAGCCAGGATCACACACATACGGTAAGTTGGTGATTTAAATAAGAAACCAAATTAGTACACAAAGCGGAGGGAGTGGACTCCTGACACTGAATGCTTAGTCATTCAAGTAGAGTGTAACTCAGATGCATGAATTTTCTTTTACTCATATGCTGACCGGATCACTAGATCATTCGTTGAATCAATTTGATTCCCTTGCATTGTTGTTCTTAAGTTCACAATAAAACTGTTGAAAAGAAGGCATACAATAGGAGTAGGCGAATGAGCCACCTACCGAAAGTGAAGTGGAGTATTCAGTGGGGAGTCATGGGTAGTGTATACATGATGGCTCTGATTTGAACAACAGCATCCGTGAGCGAAGGCAGCATAGAAAGTGTAACCCCTATTCCTAAAAACATTCCACAAATATTTCCGCCAAATGAAACTGAAATCGCATTGAAGTAATTAATCCATTTTCTAAAACAATTCCACATTAACCCTGCGTTCCGCCTCTAGTAGTTTCCTTCTTCTATGGTCCAATGTCACAATCCCACATCAGAAGCGATCACTGGTTAACAAGTTGATTATCTATCCTTCATTCACATGGTCTCATCTCTTCCTCTGTGGACTACTGCACAGGATTATATAAGCTTACACCATATCTGGTAGAAAGTAATCTTGAGGAAAAATGATCTTGAACGTTAAAAGTTCATTTTGAGAAGGTCGTCACTTCCAACGGTATGCTACGCAATCACCTCAAATAATGGTAACCAGTTGTTCTCCAGGAGTGGGTGGAGAGGAGTGGTTACTTTCAAATTAAACGAATTAAACACATCTGCAAGCCTAAAGGAAGGTATGTGAAGGGGGGAGTGCGCGGTCTGTTGTGTTCGTGAGTGAAGTGACGGCACGAGTGTACACTTGACAGTGACGACTAGTTGAATTAGTAATTGCCAGTTACCTTCCACGGATGTAGACGCGCGCACCCATGCCAGTCCTAACGTTAAGGTAACTTCAAAATTAAGGGGAAAATCAGGCTATTACTGTATCGGATGAGGAATGAGTCCGCTGGAGGAATGTAATGTAGAATGCTCCGAAACAACTCTTTGGATCTGACCAATTCGGATCAAAATATGTGACATTACAGAATGGAATTGTTCGGAATTCAAGCCTCTCTAGCCTTGGTGCTATCATAAGGGACTTGTAAATCCCTTGCTTGTAATAGCAGTTTCAGTAAGCGGGCTAACGGCTGTAGGCATTCCTTTCTGTTTGAAGCAACTTCTATTGCTACACGAAGGACTGGAGGATGTATTCAAGGATTAGCCTTAGATTCGCCAATTTAAGGAGTAATCGTAAGGTAGTTAATTGATTAAATACAGGTGATTATTTGAAATGTAAAAACGGAAACCTAGAGATTTTCGACGATAATTCATCATTTACCTTATCCAGTGGCTAGTATTAATGAGCTTCATTGTGGAATGAAATCCCTTCTTTACGTAGCGCCAATTACTTTAGTAACATTAATAGGTGGTATCAAGACCTCTCAGTTGTAAGCAATCACTCATGGGCCTATTAGAAATATATCAGGGTCTCGATTACATCACTTCAAAGGGATGTCCTTTCAATGTATCATGAAATGATATATATATATATTAAAAGTGGACAGATAAGTGATATGGAGGAACTCCGAGTCAGATAAGCAAAAAGGTCTCCACTCTTATAGTCGGTATGATCCAGGCTCATAGAGCGAAACGGATGTGTTTAAGTTGTAGATACCACTACCATGACGCGGAAGCTAATGTTAGGGCCGCGCAGACAGCATTTGTCAAGGTAATGACGTTGAAATAATCGCTGATGTGATTTCACTTCTGCATGCTCACTGTTACAAACCTGCCAACAAAACAATCGCTCTGTAACTTGGAGGTCCCAAAACACGCTCGCCTCCATTATCTGGGTGAGCATTGTCAACCTCCTTAACTAAAAAACCAGTAAAAATAATAGGGACATTTCACCTCACTCACACTTCTTTTAGTTACATCGAACACATTCTGGTGGAGTTACGGAATAAACCAGCGTTTCTTGTGTGTTTTAGCACTTTTAACGTGCGGAAAGGATTTGCGTTGCGTCTACTCAAAGCAAAAGGAACTGAATGGTAGGCAGCACAGCGCATCATCCCTTCGCCTACTCAATCGGTGTTTGTGAGCTCATTCCACTACTGAGTTTAGCTGAAGTGTCTTATCAGAGAGAAGGTGGTTGAGTGCCATATGCCAAATTACATTCTCCTTCTGCTTAAATCAGAAACTACTGTTCATCCTCCGCTTGACTGTGCCTTTCCCCGGCGCCTAGATTGTGCTAAGCAAACGGGGTAGGGTATGCAAGATGGACTAATGAGGAAACGAATGGTGAATGGTAAAACACCCACCCCATGAATGCAAAAAACAAATGAACGAATATCGTATCTTCCACTGGCGTTCAAACGTAGTCCAAACAGCTGTGGGACTAGGCAGTTCCAACTTGGAAATGAACTTACTCTTTGTGGTGTCATTTTCCACTAGCAGAATAATTTGAGCACAAGGGCTATAGTATATGCCTCGCCTAGAGCCTAACTATTGCAGCATTTGCTCTCACATTCGTGAGCTTCTGTTTGAAGGGAATGCTTATGCCCAAAAAGCAAATATATCATGGATTCTTTTTGTAGCATCAAGAGTCAAATCGCATGGACGTAGGCTTGCAAACTTGAAGCTATTCAAAGGAAGTGATTAGATGTCGATAGGCATTAATTTAATGAAACAATAGTCGTAATGGAAAAAAATAGGATGCAATCTTGTGCAGAAGAGGACTTCTGATTAATTTCGCTTGCAATTACTCATTGAAATTGAAATCTCCTAGCTGTCTTCGTTGGAATCACTTGGCCAAAAATGTTAGAGCAGTTGGGTGAAGGGGACCGTTGATGAAATATGCTGACGCAAACAGTCAGACCGACTTAAAATTTTGTTTACATTATCAGTGAAAAGGCAGATCGTAGGAAAAGGGAAAACAGGGGAGGACGTTTGCCCATTGATCATTCAGAGATCACTGTTTACTACCACCGGGAGGCGTGCGCGTGTGGTTATATGGGGATAGACTAGATTCTTTCTCCTCTTCCTCCCCTCCTCGCATATGTCCCACACCCATGACTCCCCTCAGCCCCCATAATGCGGTTCACGCTACCATAATTCAACAGAAGTATTCAACATTTATCATTGCGCAAATGAACGCTTCGCACTGTGTGAATATCAGTGTCGCAAAAACTCCCATTCAATTTTATAGTGAACTCAGGTGTTTCCTTTTCAAAGAGAGGTTTCCTGTTAGTATGAACGCCAAATAGATGGGAAGGCAACCACACAAAAAGCATGGTGAAGACAAGAGAATACGCTTTCTGCTAAGATGAACGTCTTCGTGCACCTCAGCATAGGTGGAAAATTCGAAAATCTGTAATCTGCTAATAAAGAGCTTAATAACGTTACCATTTTACATTCTTAGGAAGGGCACCGACTTAAATTGACAGGATGCAATCACAAAGCTCAACTACAATAAAAGGTAGAGTTAGTCGACTACTTTTGGGAGAAGTTTCATACCTGTGTACTATCAATGTTCAGCTTCCCCAATCCTGATCTTAATCAAACTAAGACAAGGCAGATTTTTACCACTCAAAACGAAATTTACGCGTCAATTTGAAGAGCTAGTGATAGGCGATTCAAACTGATGCCAGTGGTTAAAGTGGCAGCACTTCTAGTGTTAAGGCATTTGCTTCTCAAACAACAGCACGGAGGGATGTTTACACTCTGACAGGACGTGAGACGAAAATGAGTGTCAGGGTGTCAGATATGCCCTTTTGCTAAGAGTGTGCATCACATAGAGAATACGCGCTGATCCCGATGTCTCCTTCCTTCTACTGTTGGTCATCTGATCAAAATCTCAATCCAAATGGGCACACGGACCTGCTCTAAGGAGGAACAAGAGAGCCACACCCAGCTCACGGTACTAATTAAGTACTCAGTCAACTTGATATTAACCATTTAGGCCACTACTTTGCTGCAGTGGGTGTGATGAACTATAACGTATACGTGGGCATTTTAGCGTGCTGTTGCAGGAACTCTCTTTGGGATGAAGAAGAGTTAGACACGTGTTTATTGAATAAGATGTCAGTCCGATTATGTTGGAAGGATGAGACTGTGGCGATAGGAATTGACATGTGTCTAGACAGAAGTATCGATTCCATGGTCCTGTGAACACACCAGTACCACTTCACGCACCTTCATCCACCCACCGATTACCTATCCATCAATGGGAAAAAATGTTCCTCTTGAGTGAGAGACAAATTAGAAGTACATTTAAAGATCCCAAGATCTACTTTAATATTTATTATTCTCAACTCTCAGAAGAAACATGCTCATAGAAGGTGGATACCTTCAGTGGTTCTACCATTAATTGCATGAGAAAAATACATACAGCAGCTACAAGGGAGTTACAAAGACAGCTCATTTTGAGTTACCATAGAGATTGGTGAAAAGGTCTATGATTTCAAGTAATCAATCTTTTTTGGAAAGTTCTCGGTGCTGAATTGTCTGTTAATCTGTACAGAGCTGCTCACGAATGCACAGCCACCCTCCTTTTGAGGAATGAGTTGGTCAGACTTCTCCCAGACCTTCGTTAGGGGGGGTCAAACTCCGAGTGCTTCGAGCTGTCGCAATGAGGTCATTTAAGGCAACTCCTACCTCCTTTGACCGTGAGAAGTATGCGAACACATAAATGAACAGGTAGTTGAAACTTTTGTGACGGGAATCTACGTTGGTGTCATGCTAAGCCCTCAGCAAGCAAAAATATCATTCTCCTGTGGGTCTCAAGTAAAGCTGCATTTGCTAATCGGTGGATTAATCTAACAAGATTGTCTGGAACGGCCGGCCACTGAATATAGATGGAAGGATTCGTCCATGAACCTCATGACATACAAGTATGAAAAAGGTTGATTTAGGAGCATAATGTCTAGGACCAATTCAACAGGTTTGATAATCTGTCTAAAGATTTCCCACTTGGCAAAGAAAGCGACGCAAGCATGGCTAGCGACATGTCGGCGGTGAGGATATCTTGCAATGATGATTTGCGACTGATCCACCTTTCTCACCCAGTCAAATTTACTTGGTTGTGACAACTTTCGTAGGTTTATGGTACGTTTTCAACTGGTTAGGATTTTGTCCAATCTAAGGTTCCATAAAGTGGTCCAGCTGAGGCGTGTTTTCTCAAAACAAATTGGGTAGACAAATCATTTGGAGGATGATGCAACCATATCTCTTCGCAAAGCCTGTTTACCTATCGACCTCAAATCTGCAATCGGAGAAACACACCTTCACTTCACAAATCATCGGTAGAATGGAGTTTTGGACAAGCGACTGGTTAAACCGATGCTTGTGTTAAGCACCACTTTCGCAGTCATTTGCAATGCAATTAAAAGCACATCAGGTTAAGTTACGCTAATGCTAGTCGAGTAATCGTAGAATTGAAACCATTTTAACAGATAATACATTAGGAATTCGTTGAGAGTCGGATTGCCTTAATGAAATTGACGGGGATATTAATTACACAGACTATGATGCGATGTGACGCCGATGCCTAACGGCAATTTATTTTCACGGTTTTAAAACTACATGACGCTGATGCTGGCACACGAAGAGTGGTGGTGTGAGGGCCAAGAGATTGGACAGTTGTCTTCCCACTAAAGATCGCTTCGAAAGAAGACTAGATTTCCTGGTCACTAATGCTTCCTTCTGATCGACTGCCAGATGAATCGTCCAACATTAATTCGGTGTTAATGGGATACGATTGGGTCATCATGTAAACCGAGCATGCAAAATCCTCAAAACAATTAATCTCTGTCATTTTGCAAGTGAACGAATGCTCATTGGCAAATATCAACGTGGCAAGAATTTGTAAACACCAAGCTGACCAGCAAATATTTTTTCAGGAATCAGAGTCCTTTAATTTCCTCATCTCAAACAAAACCAAATTAACTCATTGAAATAATCCTGTTATTTATGTCAACCACCACTATATAATGAGGTTACTGTAGCTTCTTTACTTCTTCATGGTCGCACATTTTTTCACTCAAAGCTAAGTGCTTACGGAGGGATCAAATGATCCGCTAGTGACAGCGGCTTAATACAAATCACGGCGGTGGAATGTAACGGCGACTTGCGGATGATCATGACTTGCCTGTCGGAACTTTTCGTACGAGCATACATATCACAAACACCGCTTTGTTATGATGAATGAATTAGCCTCAGCAATCTTTTTCAAAATGGGGTCCGAACCTAAGTAGCCTACTTCACTGTCTTCACACTTACACAATGCGCATCAATTGGGAGAACGAAGAGCCTACCAAAGCCTCAGTATAGGTTGCTTAATCCATCAGGTTAACATCTCAAATCCGAAGGGTATACCTGACTTTGGGGTAATCAGAAATAATTGGTAGATTTTTGTAAAGACCCGAGATCCCCCAGCTCCATAAGGAGTTTACTCCCTCTAGAAAGTAACTGTAATCATTTTGTGAAGTTCTACATTAGATCTTGTAATTGTAAATTTGAACAGGGCAAAGGGAGGAGGAGAAGAAGAAGGAGGCAATGGGATGGGAATGGGGAATAGGTTTCTCTATCGATGGTCAACGCTTAGTACTCAATGAACAAGTAGTGCCAATGCACATTCAAGTGGTCAGCACGATAATTCCTCTAGTCAAAAGCGAAATCGCCATTGCAGACGCGAATATATTTGAAAAAACCTGTTATTTATGAAACGAGGCTAATCACTCAATTGTTCTAACATCAAATGCTCTGAAGCAGCAGTTCCAGACTAATATCTTTATTTCAAAGTAGAAAGAAATCATGCGATATATAAATTGCTCCTGCAGTCGCATCTTCAGTTTTAGGATTTCAAACCGTTCAAATTCTTATGGAAAATTAGCAAACTATTTCCAGCAACATTTTTAGCGTCTGTAAGTAATTGCTTCAAGTTCAAGACTTTGCCTCTGGTAGATCATTCTGCCAGCCCTCAAATGAAAAATGTGTTAAAAGTATCTATTTAAACTGTGCAAAGCATTTTCGGCTGGCTTAAGGTATCGTTTATTACTGCAAAACATGCGGCAGATTTTTACACTTATTGTCTAGTATTGAGCAAAATTCGTCAAAATGTGCATACACCAATACACATTAAGGCCAAGTGTTTTGATACAGACTATCAAGAGAGCGATGGGCAAGTGGATCACTTATTGCATAACCTTCCATTTGCGCGTGATCGCTTTCGGCACGCACACATCTGTTTCGCCTAAGAGAACTCGTGGTAGGGAAATCTTCTTATAAATTTCCTCTCACAGAGCCACACCAAAATCAGTATTTCACATTTTAGAGTGAAGTAAGGATAGTAGGAATCATATTTTCAACGGGGGCATTTCCTGGGTGACAATTAATGGAATCGATTCAAACAAGGGAACCGCAAAATTGATGACTACGAGAACCTGTTATTGCGACAGTACATAAAAAGCTCTCCTGCACGGATTAGGAGTGTATGGAATGAACAGCAGTTTGGCTGAGATAAAAGGGATTGCAAAAAGGGAAGTTGTGGGGAGGAGGTGGTGATTTTTTACAGGAAACGTGAATTGAGCCACCAAGATGATCCCACCATCACAAGGAGTGAGGGTTATGGGCGAGAGTTTTAACCTGAGTTTAAGAACACATGGGAGTGTTCTGTCTGGATCTGTGCAATATTTCGATAAACTCATGCACCTCTCACATGACTTCCACCCCTTTTACATTTGACAACTATGGTGGAACAGGCATGGTCAGTTTGGGTCCCATGATTGAGTAAAAGGAATAGTTCCACCATGGTAGTGTAGTTCGTTTTAGATTATTAAAGTTAGCTGCAACAAGAGAAGAGTATCCACTGCTCACAAATTTGCGTCTCACATCAATGCGTATTATGCAGTGTCGGAATACTCCCTCAAATTTAATAAAATATGCTTATGCTTAGTAGTTTCTATTCTTCATCATCGCTCTGCATACTGATGACGGTTCTTGATGGAATAGGGATTATAATTCCTTTTCAAACCTAAACGAAAACTCGATTAACTTATGACATCCTGAAATACTTCCACATTTTTATGGATCGGCGAAGCTCCCTAACTTTCTGGGCAGCTTTAAGAATCCAAGCAAGCGACTTGAACTTGGATTCAGTAAATTTTTGTATTCATTATCATAATGATAAGTTTATTTTGCATCCTATAACAAATGTACAGCATTCGTATTTGGCAGTGGGTGTACTTCGCAATTTCATTTACAGCGCAATAGAAGCGGATACAAGCGCATTCAACCCCGGTATCAGCTGGAAGCTGTTAAGTCCTGCCCTTGATCCTCATAAGATTCGGAGTTAAATAGCTACTTTTAAGGAAAGGGAAAAAAGCTTACTCCTTCTGTCAGTATTCCTTTTTTACTGCAAAACTGCTATACTTTTCGCCTTTTCGCATTTTGTCATCTATATAGTTTGTCTGTTGCAGCTGCCTTTGCTATGTCTGTCCGTAACTAGCAAGCTTGCATGCAGCCGTAAACCGTGAAACAGGATTGATTGCCCATCACTTTACACTGCTTCGTAGATCAGCCTGACAGCTCATCTTTTCTGGAGACCAACAAATAAAACAATCGGCTACTCATGCTGAAAACACGTAGTCATAGTTATCTGTGGACTTGCGAAAAAGAGTGTTTTTTTATCCGTTTACCATTTTGAAAGAGGCGACTTAAAATTTACAGTTATTTAAAACATTGCACATTTTATCTATAAGTTATGTGAATTTGGCATCTCATGTTAAAGACATTAAAAGGCTTAGCTATTTACTCCCTCACATATACGTCCATGTTCAAGATGTTGGTAGTAACACTAAGTTGTGTTTTTCATCTTAAAGGCGATCAAACTCCTCAACTAAATTTCCCATATGCATAGCTGCTTTTTTCCTGCCAAATACAATCCACGTGACTGTACTTGTTCTGCCAAACTGGAGGCAATGAGTCAATCACTTCTACTATTAATGTATGTGCTTATGATACTGCCATAGAAGGTCCGTGGTGTTGAAATGGTTTGCGTTCGTGACGATGTTAACCAGTTTACACCACTCCGCTTTGAGAAGAAAATTTACGAAAATTGGGAATTATGCTGTATATTCAGCGGCCATGCCAAATTACCAATACATTGGCGTTAGATGAAAGAAGGGACGGTGAGACAACAAAATGGAAGTTCAGTGAGGTGTGAGGTTATTTGGGGTAGGCAGTACCCTCTGCCCTCCAACCCTCAATTCGCAATGCAACCACCCACTCCCTTCCTCACATTAATGATGGTCATTTGTGATCATTATTTTACTATCGAGTCATGTTCCGTCTCGAGGTCTAGAAGTGCCTTTAGCGTCAATGTGCAGAAAAGCTAGGCTGTAGGCACCATGGATGGGACGATTTAGAGGAGATGCTAAAGCAACCTGTGTAATCGCTCGCGTGATTAAAACTACTATCGGTCTCTTACAAATGGAGTTTTAGGGATGTTTTGACCATCCGACCAGGGAGTTCGTTCATTGCTCCGAAATCTGAAGATCAATTCAACCATCCATCTAATTAACTTCAGTTCAAAATTATCTTCGAGGTTCATGCCTGACACTCGGAGATCAGAACCTGATTATACTCGTTTACCTGGGATACCTTAGCATGGGAAGCAGGATTAATGACTACAACGTCTAAAATTAGTAATTTCTCGTATCTGGATAAATAGGCAGAGCCACTCCAATTAGAGCCACCTATGTGGCACAGTAGACCTTGAAAAATATATACAATTAGTGGGGTCACACGAATGGTTGCCATGCCAACTGGAATCATGCGTTTGGAGCAGTACATTCTGGTACTCAGTGCTGTTTCTCGCATAATTGCATGCCTTCGAGGAGCAACCCAAGTCCACTAGCTTGAATACATGACGAATGCAGGACACCTTCATTTTATGTTGTTATCCAAGTGAACGGACCATCCTACACCACAAGTATGGGAACAGCACTAACAGCTATGAGAGTACCATTCCGTAATTAAAAGTAACAACAATTTAACCAACATTAATAGGGAAAAGCTAAGGCAAATATTAAATTACTCAAAATACAAATTTACTCTTTGAACCAATCACTACAGTTTTCCAAAACACAATTTGCATTCATTCAGTTCCAAAATGTTGACTTTTGTATTTGTATTTGTGGGATAGAACAATCTTGAAGTTAATTCTCAGCTGAAGTTTATTTTAAACGGCTTGAAAATCGCCTTATTACAACTGTCCTGACCAGACGTGTCGGTTTAGTAAGAAAGACGACCATCATGGAAAGGGGTCATATGCAAACAAATCAGTTTCATTAAAACTGTTTTATGGCCCATTGAGAAAAAGAAACACTGTGAAGGTAAACAATTGGAAAAGCCAAATTGCGGAGTCAAAGTGAATCGCGATGAACTATAAAAACTTCAAGGTGGTGGCGGTGACTGAAGTGCTCAGTTCAACATCGTATTCTTCATAATTGATGTGTGTATGTCTAAAAGCGCTGATCTGATTTAGTGGCGTTGGTCTTTTGGGCGTGAGAATGCTTCTCCACGACAGACTGGGTGTAGTACTGGTGTTGGGGTTATCGTGTGATTTATTCCGTCTGGATTTACCCCGCTCTGCCCTTCAACCCATGAGGCTCGACGCTGACCATGGGTTACCGCCGCCTTGCCATCGTTCGCAATGTTCCAAAACCTCCGTTACAATGGGACTTGTATAAGGCATCCATTACCTCTCTTCTCTGTTGCTTCCAATTTCAAGGCCGAAGAATGAAATGGTCAAATAGACCACAAGACCTCAGTGACGCATGCACATGATATAACGATCTTGGCAGTAATCACGTCAATTGAATGGTTACCGCGGTACTAAATAATGTGTATCACTTCAAAATGCGTGACCAGAGTTCGCGATGACAGCGCTGGCACCGCCTGCGTGCGCTAGGGTGCGAAATCTTACCTGACAACTAGTCTTCACCCACGTTTGCATTGCGGGCTTCACGTGCAAAGTTGCTGCGCTGCGTTAGTGAATATAATGGCAGTAGGGACAGGGAAAAAACGTGATTCACACCCATTTGGGGGGACATCATTACCACATGTCCAGCCTATGGGTCCTCAGTTAGCACACGAAGAAGTGCATACTTGTGGACTAGTGGAGAGCCACATGAAACATGAATGCCTTCCATTTGGCACAAGTCGCTCTTTTTGGTGCCCGGACATCTATGTTCTCGGGCTCTTGAACAACGGCCATGGTAGTTCATAGGAAAGCTTTCTGTGGTTAGGTTTTAGTATGCAGTATCCATTAGCAATAATGATAGCTGATAAAGGTAACTAATAAAAGAGTCGGAATCAGAGACGGCTCATTGAAAATGGCAAATTTTTCGTCTACAATTACCATTTGAGCAAAATGAAAGTATTCAGTATCAAGAGGCACCACGCATGTCGTCAACTTTGGCAAAATCACTTGCACATCCACTCAACTGCACCAATGTGCTTTCCGAGCATCACTGCCTGGATGAGAAGACATGGTTTTGCCCTTCCTGCTACAAGCAATAAGCACTTTCATGCAGCCTCACCTCCGTGTCAGTGTTGGAGACTGGAATGTCAGAGGATCCTATCTAAACCACTTCTTACTTCTTGTCAGAGTTGCACGTTACAGTCACGCAGCGATATGCGATTATTGAGAAGGCAGACGGTGCAGACGCCACTCAGGACCCAACTTCATGCCCAAACTAATCCACCACAACAGCGATTCACAACTCGTTACCCTTCTACTTAAACATACCACCTTCTTTTCTTTTCTCCTTGCAAAACACTTCAGACAATCACCAAATCCGCCCCTAGTTAACAGGAAACTCAACTGACATCCCCAGACTAAACAGCATCTTTCTCGGAAAGGCAAGTGGATGAATAGAAAAGGAAAAAACATCGCATTTACAACAACTTCCACTAATGAATCAGGAGTCACCTGTGACTCTCATCGTCATCAGCACGCATGTCACAACGGGCAGATAAATATGCATATGCATATACTTAGGATGCCAAAACAAAACAAATAAAAGAAGACAAGTCAACTGCTTCAAGAGTGCCACATCACTTCAGAGATAGGGCCTCCACACCTCCTGACGTTTCTTCGGTGGCAATCGGTACTCAGTGCGATCGGCACCGTTGCCCTCAACGGAGGAGGAGTGTGTGACAGATGTGGGGGACACGTAAACACCACTGTCACAATAGCCAATCTGAGAGGTGGTGGGAGAATCAGGCGTGATGTTTTGACAGACAGCACTCGTCACGGTGTCGCCTCTGTGGTATGCTTTCAGTCGTTCCATCATGTCTGGGCTCTCCACCAGCAGGTTGCGTAGACTACTCAGTACATCGTGACAGAAGCCCAGCATCTCCACCTTCTCTGTGCGGACGCTGCTAACCGCCTACAACACCAAGGAATGAAGTCGTCTGTTCACTCCTCTTGCATCAGAGGTCTCCTCCTGTGAACACACCGATTTTCTACCCAAGGAGATGAGTTAGCCCCACCTGTCCCCTATGGGCGCCCCTGGCCAGACACCACACAGGAGACCTGTGCTCACGACGACAAATCAATAAATCGATTGGTGACTCACATCTTTGCCGACCATGGAGAGGGCGAGACCATGCAGCTGTGCAATTTTGTCCGAGATACGTGCTCGTCTCACACGCTCCATGTTCTGCTTCTTCACCTAAGGCGGTAAAGAGACAGACTGCTTCGAGGAACACAGCTTTCATCGTAGACAGGATGAATGCTCAAAATTTGGCAACGGCATCACTTACCCTTCTCGATTCGAAGCGTTGACGACTGCTTGTTCGTGAGAGAACTCCTCTACCCTCAGTGCGTTGTATGTATGTCGACGAGTGAGTGGACACAACACTCGGTGCAGACACGACTTTGACGACAGGCGCCTGAAACATGGAAACGCGGACCCGCCTCTTCTGCGGTTGTGACGACACGCGTATTCCTTCACCTACTTATTGGCTTAAACGCCGAGCAGACTGAGCTCTGATTGGTTAGGCCCTTGTCCAATGACAAAATCATGTTGGACGCGTGCAAGTGTGGGTACTAGCCAATCATGGTAACCCTGAGCGCTTGCATGGACACAAAACTGGCCTACAATGTTTTAAGAAGGATTAAAAGTTGATATTTGAGCAAGCTGTAACAAACTAGCAAGCAGAGGAAGACCCTAATGCTGTCACAAAAGTAGTAGGGATGGAGAAGTGGTTCACCTAGTAATAAATTACCTTTCATTTGAATGAAATGCCAAACTTGGGCCATTGGAACCCGTGGTATAAATAATGCCTCCTTTCACTATAATACGGTTTAATGGTCAGCTTAGGCGGATCGCAAACAAAATGTGATTTTAAGTCAAGGATAATTCTGGGCTGTGTAAGCAGACATCTGTCAAACGATTGACTAATGTAGCAATCTACGGAGGATTACGATGTAAATCGATTTGTGGAAAAATACTTGCATCAATTGTGTACTCATCTTGCGATCTCTTCAGTCTCCTTGCTTCACCTCCACCTCTGGTGTCAAGGCGCCCTTTATATGAGGGGAACTTATTTTACATGTTTTTCACAAATGTTGCAGGCTTATAAACACCAGGTCTGTAGTCTTGTTCTTTAGGGGCTGAATCCGCTGCTACAAAACATTGTGTAAACTCACGCAAGGAAGTGGTTCGAAGACTCGTTGTACTTTGATCAAAACACGTGGCTCGCCTGTGCCAACGAAGTGTACCATTGACACTTTTCTTGACTCTACCGAAAAGGGCCTTCCAGCACTTGCCCATGATTGACGGCTGGGTTGAGCAATTAACCGAAAATGGAGGAGGAACAACCAGCAGTTGAGTGCACTCTATCGTCGATTCGACCTTGGCCACGAGTGGCACACGCATTGCACCTCATCTCCAAAGTGCATGAGACACATGCAAAAGTACATCCGCGCAGATTACCTCGTGCCCACCACCACTCCCACCGTGAGCGTCCACGCACATGCTCTATGCTCTGGACGTGTTTCAACCAGCTCTAATTGCCGACAATGCCTCACATTTACACTCACATTGAAGCCAGCCTGGCCAAATTGATTGGGCAGATGGATGTGTGGTAAATAATGATTAACGAGAAATATTAACTGCAAGCATTGTGGTGGACTTGATATTGTTCGACCTGTTTTAGAGTTGGTGGTGGAAACGAAGAATTCAAGTGCTCGGACGTACCTCTGTGGTGAAGTAATTTACACGTTAGGGAAGTGAAATGGTACTAACCACCAGAGTGGGAAGTAAAGGTGAATACTGTATTAAGCACGTGTTGCCGCAGTGTGGTGTGCATGGGAATGTGGTGTGGGAACCTCAGGTTCAATCAGATCTGACGGAATATCTCGATTAAAGTCGCTAACCTCAGCAATCACTTATTGACCTTCACCTTACATCCTTGATTGATGGATAGCTCTCAGACTAAATGCAGGCTCATTTGAAGAGAAGGCCTACTTCACAAACGCCCTGCTGTTTTATGAGAAAGGTTAGCTTGCCGCCAACACCATGTGTCATTTTGGTGCATGCGGAATGTTGACATGTTACCTATTCTGCACTACCACATCACCCCTACATGCAAATTGGTCAGTTCTCAAGTCCTCGAGAGACCTCAATTAGAGCTAGCTTAAAAGGGAAGGCCTTGCTCCAGACACACGACCTCCTTTGGAATGCCAAACCACCACTTACGTCGCGCCCTATTTACGGCTTATTTTTCTAGTTTCGTTTGATCCAAATGCGGGAGCCATAAATTATAGCGATTTACCTTGTTTATCGCTTATCCAGGTGAATGTCATTACCAATTCTATTAACTCTTTTTCCATGTCAAGGTCATCACTGGAAGAGCATAATACTAATGGTCGGAAGGATCTCTGTAAAAATTGTAAATGAAACCTCTTTGAGTCCTATGATGCGGGTCACGAACTGTGAGGAATATCTATGGTTGCAGGTGAGCAGAAGTGGCCTGCAAAAGATGAACCAACCTATTGGAGAATTGAGTTTTAACTGATTTACTGAGTAGGAGAGTGATTGTAGAGCATCTTACTGGCGCGGCTAAAACATTCGTCTATTTAAGCTAAAAAATAGAAGTATACACGTGGTTATGAGTTTTCCATGGACCTTGCCATCCACGCTACTGACCCACTGGCCCTTGTGTACATTTACAATAAAACTACCTGTGGGGGTAATTTAGGAGGAATGGTGCTATACATCCTTCAAAAATGATTTATGGTGTGGTTGCGACATGGAACTTGACATGACTGTAAAACAGACATGGCGCATGAGCTGCCACCCACGCTGTAGGGAAAGTGGTGGATGGCTGATGCTATGAAGAGGGAAAATAGGTCTAGCGATACTGCGTGCCCCACACCTCGCCTCCTTGCTGTGCGGCTGTCTGTTTTTCATGCAGCGCTTTGAAGTTGCGCCTCGGTGTTATCGCAGTTCTCCCTTTTTAAAGATCAAAAACAACAACCACCTGCCTTAATCCAATACGCATGCCTTTTCAGTAGAGCCAGTTTTAGGAACTGTTACCACTATTTCAGATTGGTTTAATTTGAGGAGCGGAACCAACCAAAATACTCACAAAGAGAATGCCTCGTTTCCAGTGGGCCTATCTAATGCAATAGAGTAGTTAGTGAGTGAAAGGAAACCAGGAGCGCACAAAGTCTGTTGCAGAAATTAGTATCCCCATGCCAAGGGGACATTTTGTTGAAGTATGTTGTATTACGGTACCATGTTGTTTTATCTTTTACTTCGCTGCTAATAATGGCTACAGGTGCAATGTGAAAACTTTCAAATTAGGGTTTTTAACGAGCTACAGCGCAGGCGATCAATCATTTTAGTGGTTGTTCATCCTTCTTATCATTTTACTAATTTAATGATTAAAAGAAGAGGGGAAGCCACTGCTTGCCAAGGAACATCCACATTGTAAAATACACTGATTCTATGTTTAATTTTCACCACCTGATGAATCAGTCACGACTAAGTAGAACAAATCTTCCAAAACGAAGTCTTCATTTAGCAGAGACTTGAAATTATTTCAGTGGGGTCACTGACTACGGGACACGATTGACTATGTTGAAAAAATAACCAATCTCCTTCAAATGCTATTCCTTCCTTGAGTTTACCCTTCAGAAAAGTTAGGAATTAGAGACCGCATGAAACAAGTGATGATTTGATCCATATGATTCTGCATGCCATCGCAGTGGCAAAATAAACACACCGAGGTCAAATGACAATCTCAATTAAGCCCTGGCTCATCAATCGATGCAGATAGTGCTAGCTGGATTTGCAGTAAGATGGACATTGTAATGGTCAAGAATTCATTATAACTGTAATCTCCTAAGAGTGTGATACACCTTGCAGTAGTCTACAAAGAAACGTTTGGCCTGTGCAAAAAGGGTTGCACGTAAAGGGCTCTTAAGCCAAACAAGTGTAGACCTTTTAGGTGCCTCAAATGGTCTTCACTTTGGCTGCCAGGAGCAAATAAGACGGGTCTGCTTGGAAAGGACTTGCCTCTCTTACATAATCGCACCACAAATTGTAATTGTTGCAACAAAGAAGAATGGAGGTAAAGTCAAGGGGTGGCACACGGGATCATGCGCCTGCTGCTATTGCTTAACTAAAAGTTGATAGCCAACAATCGTCACCTCCCATCTGCCTCCCTCAATATCCTCTGTTCAGTCGGAATGCTTTGACAACATTCCAAAGGCTTGGTGTTACAATGCATTATGCTTTCAAAGTACACGTATCTAAACCGGTGAGGAGCATTACTGGGCACGGAATCTATCTGTTCACACAACCTTGATTCCGTTTATGCTGACCTGATATTGAGAAGTGCAGATGACAATGAGAGAGGGGAATGGTCGAGGTAACCTTTGCCTGGCATGAGATCATCGAAAAGCACTGTATGAATAGAGAAATTGAAAATGTGTGTCGGTTGACCTGTTTGCACATCATTTAATGACGAGACATGACGTGAAGTGCGCACAACAGTGCTAATGTGTACATTTCAACTATCAACTATCACCTTACAATTTTGCAATTTTCTTTGGGTCATGAAAGAGAACCCTAAATTGTTTGTTTTTCTTTCTACTGTAAGAATCCGAAATCCTCCCTAATTGTTTTCCTTTGAGGAAAAGGATAAAAGGGTTGTTGGAAAGTAGTCGTTAATTTTCCTAAAAACAAACCAATTTGAAATCCTAAAATTGAAGATGTATCTGCGAAAGCAATTTATTTGTTACCTGTATTTGTTTTTCTTGTGACATAAAGGCATTAACCTAGCAAGGTTACCTTTGTGCAAGTGGTGTTGGAAAAACCAAGTGTTTGGCCTCTTTTCAAACATAATAAGTTTTCTTTGAAAATATTGGCTGCTACATTGAAGAATTCACTCTTGAATGTGAGGAATTTTCAAGCTGACCACTTGGGCGTGCAGTGATGTCACACAAGTGATTATTCTCAGAGTTGCATTGCCTGTTTATTGGGAGTCGTGTGTTGACCACGAATAGGGCACCCTTTTTCCAATTCCCATTCTTCTGCATCCTCCTCCTCACCTCTTTATAATGTGATTTAATGCGGAACTTAAACAAATCATTTTAGGTAGTTTCATTAAAGGTTGGACTCCTTAAGGTTTCATATCACTAAATTTGGGTGATCTCTAGCCTTTTCAATTCTCTGTCAGCATAAAATAATGTCAAGCTATCCTGGTGCGAAGCAATTGAATAAGATATTCAAATAAGCTTAATTTGGGGACAGAATGCCAGTTGAACTAGTAGTCTACTGTAATCTGTGGCTAAAATTAGTGGTGTTGGTATAATTTGCCTTCGGTATTCATCGTCTCACTATCCTGCTGTGGTCTGTTTATTCTATTGTCCACGACTGCATAATTTTACCAATGTGAAATTATGCCACACCACCAAGAATGGTCAAGCTTTTGTGCGAAATTCCTATAAGCATTTTGCATGGATGCCATGGGCCAAATTTAATTTTCAAATCAACTTATCCATTTGGAAGCTAGCTTCTTCGACCGCCTTTGGTCTTTATAATCACAGCAGGCAGTTCTCTGTGGACTCCTCCTCTGGAGACTACCGGTCTGTCTCCTTGTCCATTGGGTAGTTAATAAGCTGCACGTGGTGAGGGCACGAAACAATGTGGAAGACTGGACAATTCAATTCGGTAATTACGGTGCTTTTCGTTTGACGGCAGGCAGGATATACAAGCGTGTCTATGGTATTACAAGAGGCCGCTGACATGTGCACAGGTCAGACCGCTTGTTTGCACGTGCTGGTCTATTAGTGTTCCTGTCACAGTGTTTGCGACCGACCGACTGGGGCTTCGCGCTGTTGAATATGGTCGACGTTCAAACAATTCCCGTGACCTCCGTTTCTGCCAAACCAATCAGCTTTTACAATCACTGTAAAAGTGAGCCAAGAAGGCTGCTTTTACTTCAGTTGCTCCCCTAAAGTAATGCTGGCTTTTCTTGAGCAAGGAGTAAATGAGCAATTTTTTGTTGTGATTACTGTGAAAGGCAAAGTTGTCGACCTATTTTAAGAAGTGTACACTGCCTATCGAAAGTTGAATTTAAGGGCAAGACCATAGTCATGTAATACACTCCAGTGTTCCAGCCTTTCCAAGCGACTGCAGAACCAATGGTTTCGGTTGAAGTGAGCAGCCATCTAACCTGGTTTAAGACGGCCTTTCCCATTATTCACTCTCGTACGCTGTATTCCTAAAGTAGCCTCCTATAGGTGTGCCAACAGATTCCTTTCCAACTTGTGTAAATTAATGCGTTATTATTCTAGTTACATGAATGCAAGATGTGCAGACGAAACAAAGCTGGACGAAATGAAGCACTATTTGACCATATTCTTATGATGCCCGCTAGTTGTCGCTTTATGGCCACCTTAATCAGTATTGACAATCGGTTCAAAGCAATTTCGCAGGTAGGTAGACGCAATTACATACAATGGCACCTTGTCAGTAAGGATTCTGAATTGCGGTTAATAAGGCACGTTCTTCGCCTGGGTTAGCATGGCACTTATACTCTCACCAAAATACACTGACACCCTATCCTTCTCCACATCTCTTATGCTCAATAAAATTTGATACTGTAGTAGGATTCCAACCTGAATTCTCAGCGTAGGCGCAGTGGTGTTCACCAGTAAAGGAAAAAGTTTTTGATAAATACGGGATATATGAAAACAAATATCATTTTTATGGATTTCATCCAATTTGTTTAATTGAAATCTTGCATAGATAAAATAGATGACAATTCGATCTTTCAAGGCTAAATATATGAGAGAAATTTTCCTATGGACCGTATCTCCTTTATATATCCCTTCTTTTTAAATGAAAGATGAGTGTTCAACATCCACAATGAAGCCTACCTGCAGAATTTGCCATGACTTGGGTAGTAAATTGATGTAAGCTTACCACTTGCAATGTACGCTGAACTGATTGGATTTCCAGCTTAGATGCTGGAATCTTTAAAATGCTCTGCGATGTAAGTGTTTGTAATTACCTTTATTTCCACAAGGGTCACAAGCCTAGAGCTGTACCTAAGTGGGTTCACTACTCAACTTCGATATCAGCTTTGCAAAATCATTTGAACCCATCCAACTTGTATCAAGAAGTTCACCATGCTCCGCTGAAGGCCTATGCCAAAGGTCTCTCGATATATATATATATATATATATATATATATATATGCCGCCAACACCATGTGTCATTTTGGTGCATGCGGAATGTTGACATGTTACCTATTCTGCACTACCACATCACCCCTACATGCAAATTGGTCAGTTCTCAAGTCCTCGAGAGACCTCAATTAGAGCTAGCTTAAAAGGGAAGGCCTTGCTCCAGACACACGACCTCCTTTGGAATGCCAAACCACCACTTACGTCGCGCCCTATTTACGGCTTATTTTTCTAGTTTCGTTTGATCCAAATGCGGGAGCCATAAATTATAGCGATTTACCTTGTTTATCGCTTATCCAGGTGAATGTCATTACCAATTCTATTAACTCTTTTTCCATGTCAAGGTCATCACTGGAAGAGCATAATACTAATGGTCGGAAGGATCTCTGTAAAAATTGTAAATGAAACCTCTTTGAGTCCTATGATGCGGGTCACGAACTGTGAGGAATATCTATGGTTGCAGGTGAGCAGAAGTGGCCTGCAAAAGATGAACCAACCTATTGGAGAATTGAGTTTTAACTGATTTACTGAGTAGGAGAGTGATTGTAGAGCATCTTACTGGCGCGGCTAAAACATTCGTCTATTTAAGCTAAAAAATAGAAGTATACACGTGGTTATGAGTTTTCCATGGACCTTGCCATCCACGCTACTGACCCACTGGCCCTTGTGTACATTTACAATAAAACTACCTGTGGGGGTAATTTAGGAGGAATGGTGCTATACATCCTTCAAAAATGATTTATGGTGTGGTTGCGACATGGAACTTGACATGACTGTAAAACAGACATGGCGCATGAGCTGCCACCCACGCTGTAGGGAAAGTGGTGGATGGCTGATGCTATGAAGAGGGAAAATAGGTCTAGCGATACTGCGTGCCCCACACCTCGCCTCCTTGCTGTGCGGCTGTCTGTTTTTCATGCAGCGCTTTGAAGTTGCGCCTCGGTGTTATCGCAGTTCTCCCTTTTTAAAGATCAAAAACAACAACCACCTGCCTTAATCCAATACGCATGCCTTTTCAGTAGAGCCAGTTTTAGGAACTGTTACCACTATTTCAGATTGGTTTAATTTGAGGAGCGGAACCAACCAAAATACTCACAAAGAGAATGCCTCGTTTCCAGTGGGCCTATCTAATGCAATAGAGTAGTTAGTGAGTGAAAGGAAACCAGGAGCGCACAAAGTCTGTTGCAGAAATTAGTATCCCCATGCCAAGGGGACATTTTGTTGAAGTATGTTGTATTACGGTACCATGTTGTTTTATCTTTTACTTCGCTGCTAATAATGGCTACAGGTGCAATGTGAAAACTTTCAAATTAGGGTTTTTAACGAGCTACAGCGCAGGCGATCAATCATTTTAGTGGTTGTTCATCCTTCTTATCATTTTACTAATTTAATGATTAAAAGAAGAGGGGAAGCCACTGCTTGCCAAGGAACATCCACATTGTAAAATACACTGATTCTATGTTTAATTTTCACCACCTGATGAATCAGTCACGACTAAGTAGAACAAATCTTCCAAAACGAAGTCTTCATTTAGCAGAGACTTGAAATTATTTCAGTGGGGTCACTGACTACGGGACACGATTGACTATGTTGAAAAAATAACCAATCTCCTTCAAATGCTATTCCTTCCTTGAGTTTACCCTTCAGAAAAGTTAGGAATTAGAGACCGCATGAAACAAGTGATGATTTGATCCATATGATTCTGCATGCCATCGCAGTGGCAAAATAAACACACCGAGGTCAAATGACAATCTCAATTAAGCCCTGGCTCATCAATCGATGCAGATAGTGCTAGCTGGATTTGCAGTAAGATGGACATTGTAATGGTCAAGAATTCATTATAACTGTAATCTCCTAAGAGTGTGATACACCTTGCAGTAGTCTACAAAGAAACGTTTGGCCTGTGCAAAAAGGGTTGCACGTAAAGGGCTCTTAAGCCAAACAAGTGTAGACCTTTTAGGTGCCTCAAATGGTCTTCACTTTGGCTGCCAGGAGCAAATAAGACGGGTCTGCTTGGAAAGGACTTGCCTCTCTTACATAATCGCACCACAAATTGTAATTGTTGCAACAAAGAAGAATGGAGGTAAAGTCAAGGGGTGGCACACGGGATCATGCGCCTGCTGCTATTGCTTAACTAAAAGTTGATAGCCAACAATCGTCACCTCCCATCTGCCTCCCTCAATATCCTCTGTTCAGTCGGAATGCTTTGACAACATTCCAAAGGCTTGGTGTTACAATGCATTATGCTTTCAAAGTACACGTATCTAAACCGGTGAGGAGCATTACTGGGCACGGAATCTATCTGTTCACACAACCTTGATTCCGTTTATGCTGACCTGATATTGAGAAGTGCAGATGACAATGAGAGAGGGGAATGGTCGAGGTAACCTTTGCCTGGCATGAGATCATCGAAAAGCACTGTATGAATAGAGAAATTGAAAATGTGTGTCGGTTGACCTGTTTGCACATCATTTAATGACGAGACATGACGTGAAGTGCGCACAACAGTGCTAATGTGTACATTTCAACTATCAACTATCACCTTACAATTTTGCAATTTTCTTTGGGTCATGAAAGAGAACCCTAAATTGTTTGTTTTTCTTTCTACTGTAAGAATCCGAAATCCTCCCTAATTGTTTTCCTTTGAGGAAAAGGATAAAAGGGTTGTTGGAAAGTAGTCGTTAATTTTCCTAAAAACAAACCAATTTGAAATCCTAAAATTGAAGATGTATCTGCGAAAGCAATTTATTTGTTACCTGTATTTGTTTTTCTTGTGACATAAAGGCATTAACCTAGCAAGGTTACCTTTGTGCAAGTGGTGTTGGAAAAACCAAGTGTTTGGCCTCTTTTCAAACATAATAAGTTTTCTTTGAAAATATTGGCTGCTACATTGAAGAATTCACTCTTGAATGTGAGGAATTTTCAAGCTGACCACTTGGGCGTGCAGTGATGTCACACAAGTGATTATTCTCAGAGTTGCATTGCCTGTTTATTGGGAGTCGTGTGTTGACCACGAATAGGGCACCCTTTTTCCAATTCCCATTCTTCTGCATCCTCCTCCTCACCTCTTTATAATGTGATTTAATGCGGAACTTAAACAAATCATTTTAGGTAGTTTCATTAAAGGTTGGACTCCTTAAGGTTTCATATCACTAAATTTGGGTGATCTCTAGCCTTTTCAATTCTCTGTCAGCATAAAATAATGTCAAGCTATCCTGGTGCGAAGCAATTGAATAAGATATTCAAATAAGCTTAATTTGGGGACAGAATGCCAGTTGAACTAGTAGTCTACTGTAATCTGTGGCTAAAATTAGTGGTGTTGGTATAATTTGCCTTCGGTATTCATCGTCTCACTATCCTGCTGTGGTCTGTTTATTCTATTGTCCACGACTGCATAATTTTACCAATGTGAAATTATGCCACACCACCAAGAATGGTCAAGCTTTTGTGCGAAATTCCTATAAGCATTTTGCATGGATGCCATGGGCCAAATTTAATTTTCAAATCAACTTATCCATTTGGAAGCTAGCTTCTTCGACCGCCTTTGGTCTTTATAATCACAGCAGGCAGTTCTCTGTGGACTCCTCCTCTGGAGACTACCGGTCTGTCTCCTTGTCCATTGGGTAGTTAATAAGCTGCACGTGGTGAGGGCACGAAACAATGTGGAAGACTGGACAATTCAATTCGGTAATTACGGTGCTTTTCGTTTGACGGCAGGCAGGATATACAAGCGTGTCTATGGTATTACAAGAGGCCGCTGACATGTGCACAGGTCAGACCGCTTGTTTGCACGTGCTGGTCTATTAGTGTTCCTGTCACAGTGTTTGCGACCGACCGACTGGGGCTTCGCGCTGTTGAATATGGTCGACGTTCAAACAATTCCCGTGACCTCCGTTTCTGCCAAACCAATCAGCTTTTACAATCACTGTAAAAGTGAGCCAAGAAGGCTGCTTTTACTTCAGTTGCTCCCCTAAAGTAATGCTGGCTTTTCTTGAGCAAGGAGTAAATGAGCAATTTTTTGTTGTGATTACTGTGAAAGGCAAAGTTGTCGACCTATTTTAAGAAGTGTACACTGCCTATCGAAAGTTGAATTTAAGGGCAAGACCATAGTCATGTAATACACTCCAGTGTTCCAGCCTTTCCAAGCGACTGCAGAACCAATGGTTTCGGTTGAAGTGAGCAGCCATCTAACCTGGTTTAAGACGGCCTTTCCCATTATTCACTCTCGTACGCTGTATTCCTAAAGTAGCCTCCTATAGGTGTGCCAACAGATTCCTTTCCAACTTGTGTAAATTAATGCGTTATTATTCTAGTTACATGAATGCAAGATGTGCAGACGAAACAAAGCTGGACGAAATGAAGCACTATTTGACCATATTCTTATGATGCCCGCTAGTTGTCGCTTTATGGCCACCTTAATCAGTATTGACAATCGGTTCAAAGCAATTTCGCAGGTAGGTAGACGCAATTACATACAATGGCACCTTGTCAGTAAGGATTCTGAATTGCGGTTAATAAGGCACGTTCTTCGCCTGGGTTAGCATGGCACTTATACTCTCACCAAAATACACTGACACCCTATCCTTCTCCACATCTCTTATGCTCAATAAAATTTGATACTGTAGTAGGATTCCAACCTGAATTCTCAGCGTAGGCGCAGTGGTGTTCACCAGTAAAGGAAAAAGTTTTTGATAAATACGGGATATATGAAAACAAATATCATTTTTATGGATTTCATCCAATTTGTTTAATTGAAATCTTGCATAGATAAAATAGATGACAATTCGATCTTTCAAGGCTAAATATATGAGAGAAATTTTCCTATGGACCGTATCTCCTTTATATATCCCTTCTTTTTAAATGAAAGATGAGTGTTCAACATCCACAATGAAGCCTACCTGCAGAATTTGCCATGACTTGGGTAGTAAATTGATGTAAGCTTACCACTTGCAATGTACGCTGAACTGATTGGATTTCCAGCTTAGATGCTGGAATCTTTAAAATGCTCTGCGATGTAAGTGTTTGTAATTACCTTTATTTCCACAAGGGTCACAAGCCTAGAGCTGTACCTAAGTGGGTTCACTACTCAACTTCGATATCAGCTTTGCAAAATCATTTGAACCCATCCAACTTGTATCAAGAAGTTCACCATGCTCCGCTGAAGGCCTATGCCAAAGGTCTCTCGATATATATATATATATATATATATATATATATA